ATCACTGCTGAGGGAAATATCTGCTCTTTAGCTGTAAATGCTCCACTTTGGTTTCACCAGCTAGTCGCTAACTTTTGTCTGTCACTTATGCTGGGCAGGTGCGTTTAGTGGATTTATCTTTAACTGTTGAGTGGTCTGTTGTTTGTTTTTTCTAAAAAAACAGAAAAGACATTGCAAGAGCTAAAACAAACAAAAGTCTGTAGGCTGTAAAACCAAAACAATGACCTTAAGAGGATAAAACGAGCAACATCTTATCACATAAGACATGCAGTCATTTAAAATTATTTAAATTTTTAGTGAGGTTTTTAAGACAGTCATTAATTAGGTGACTAAGTAAAGTGTTGTTTATAATTTTTTTTATTGTAAGCAGGAAGTACTGCGAAGTATTTCTCCTTTAGAACAGTTACCTAGTCTAAACTATAACAGGAACACGTAGAAGGCATTAAAGCTGCATTCACAAAACGTCTACCTTTCTGTATTTTAGTAGATATCTTCTCAACTTGAAGTCAGCCATAAACAAAAAGTGAGAAAAGTAGGAGGCATTATACAACCTAGGGGTATACACTTACGTGTTGATGTCGCTCTGTCCAAAACCTTGAAACGGGTTTAAAGGATAAATAAAATAACAATGGTTATTATAACCACGTAACACATACATTTCTTTAAATACACTATTCGATGGCAATACACTGCTCCAGCAAGTCCAGTAGACAGGCCGGTCTGGCTGAAGCGTCTCAAAACAGCATTCTGACAGAGTTGAGAATCTTTGATGGACCTGGGAATCTTTGGGTTGGTTTTTGAAGGATGGGTATGCATCGCTGGCAAAGCAAAGATAACATAGGGATTGTATGCTGTCGAATACCTACGGTGTGTCACTGCGATCACACACAGATATAAATATTGGTCAGAGATCAGATTCAGGGGACTTTGTTGGAAAGCTCTTACAAAAAGTAAAACAGTCACTGGATTAAACAAGTCTATTCTGACCCCGGTCAGTGCGGATCAGCTGTGAGCCCAAGTTCACTTTGCAATGGTAGATTGTGATTCCTCAACACCTCACGATGCATAAAAACACACACAGAAACACAACCTAAATGATATTAAGTAATCCTACGCAGATCTCCTCAATTCCAACCTGGGAAGAGAAGGAGTGACCTGGATAAAAACATGACTGTACAAAGCAGCCATGGAAGGACAGCAATATTTAACAGCTGTAAGCCCTTCACTATTCTTTATGAGCACAGCGTTTTATTGAGTCATAACACAAATATCAGTTTTATCTTTTTGGAGACATGTTTGCCAAAAACAAAAAACACACTGATGCAGATACGTACAAGTCATAAAAAAACATAACAGTGGTTTTGCTAAAATTGTTAGCTGTAATGTAAAAGCACTGTGGGGGGTCCTTTAAATTATCCAAGTATATAATATAAAGACCAAGGCTATGAACATCTATCTATTGAAGGTGTTTTTTGTTTTCACAGCTATTGGTCAAGGGGCAAGGTCTTTGATGTTTACCTTAAATTTTGTTTTCTTATATGTGTAGTATACAACTTCTTTAAAAAGTCCAGTGTGTAAACATAATCTAGGAGGATCTATTACAGAAATTTAACTATCCAATATTTCAATTTTAGGTTTGTTTCATCTTGTGATCCACCTTGATTAAACACAGGACATTAATCTGATATTTGTTTACAATTATAGACAACCACTTTTGTCTACAGACCTGCGGGTCACTTCCATCGGAGTTCAATTATGCTTGAAAACTGCCATGCTTTCTACAGTAAGCCCAGAAGGGACCAAACCAAACACTGACAGTTTTTATAGCTGCACCGATAGTTTCTCCTACAAAACTTCTCACAGCCCATTTTTCACTCCCAGCGTCGCTCAAATACAGACGCCGGCAATGCTCAGTTAGTTGCAATCTGCATCCTCACCGCTATATGCCACCAAACTGTCAAATAAATAGAATGGAGTAAAATAATACAATATTGTCCTCAGAAATGAAGTGGAGAAGTATAAAGTAGCATCATAAACGACCTCAAACCTAAGTACAGCACTGGTTTAATGAAAACTGGTTGATAGTTGGTTTAACTACTAATTCCTGGTGAGTTTGAGTAGTTTCTGCAGACAGTATTAAGTACTTCATGTTGTGTCTGTTTACACCCTGATGGCCTCCACCATTCATTCCTGGACACGATAAGTATCTGCTACCGAGTCTGTACTTCTAAAGCCATCTCACCTACACACAGACTGCATGGTCGAAAAATAGGGAGTTTCATAAATATCAGTGACCAGACAGATAGCATCTTTCCCAGCCCTGAAGCAGGTTTTGTTGGATAAGACGACATACCATGATAGTAGGTGACAAGAAAGTGAGGTCCATGCTGATTCAGTTCCTAGGACTCTTGCTTACATTAGTCTGTGCATTCAGACACATGTTTTTTGGTTGCCCAAACATGTATTTCTATTTTATTTTATTTTATTTGGGTGTACATGCAAACCAGTTACTGTATGATGAAATGTGAATAACTGTAATGAAATTCTTTGTCATTAATCTGGAAGTGCAATTAGATTTTTCCTCACTTGCACCAGTTTGATATTGTAGTGACTTGCTGTGTGGAGGAGAGGTTCAGTGGGGGTTTGATGTCAAGCCTGAGTGCAGTTTGTACCATCTGTAACCTGCCTGGGCCAAGTCCAAAGATCTTGTGCATGTGCTCTGCTATTCTTGGCAGAACACATGGTGACAGACTAGGTACCAGTGTACAGGAGTTGAGTGCTTATTTGCTTTCCACCGCTGAAACCTTTTGTAGTAATACATGCCAACACGGTGTTTATGTACCTTTGGTCCAAGAAGCTGGCGTTCCAACAGGCCGTAGAGGAGAGTTGAATTATGATGTCACTGTGCATGAAAACATAAAATGGAGCTTTATGGTGAAAAAATTTCAACAAAAAAAAAAGTAAGAAAAGAAAAGTATAGATTCGTAATTAAAATAAGTCTTATGTGTGAAAATATTGGCGAGTAAAATCACCATTTATACTAGACAGTTACAAGAGAATGAACAGTACAATCTAAAACATTTCAAATAATAACTTTTATTATTTGACTTACTTTGTGACACTAGAGTCCGTGCTGTACATCAGCTTTTGCCTCCATGAGTTTAATCTTTCATAATTGATTGGGGAGATTGATTTACTGATATTAATCACTCTGAAGTCTTCGGGGGGGACATAACTCTGCAGAGAGAAACATAAACAGACAAAACATTAACAGCGCTGTCACAAACATTTAGAAATTGTTTGTACTGGTACTTCCAGTGTGTGTGTGTGTGTCAGGTCAGCACAAAGACATTTGGGCTTCAGTCTGGGCTGTGTCTCTTTCCTCCATGAAGATAAAATAAATGGGCCACGCCTGAGGTCTAAATATTTTTGCTGTGGAGGCTGAATGTGTGTTATGTCTTCATCAGTTCACATTCCTGACAGTTTGGAGGATATTTGTAGCAGACGATCGCTCCACATACAGTATAGCTCCAATATAAGAGCTGTTAAAAGCTTAGACATTAATGCCCCCCTATGGTAAAACACTGGAACTGATTAAATGGAAAGCAACAACAACAAAAATTATCTGGGTAGTACATATTTCTATTTAAGCTGCATATTTTGAAATAGCTTTGATCAGTATTTTTTGTGTTGTAATTGAGGGATGAGGGGTTAGTGCAGGTGTTATGGTTAGAGAATAGGGAATAAATATATTTAATGGAATGAATAATTTAAGTGATACAGTATGTGTGCAGGGAAATCCCAAACGTAAGTTAAACTGCAAATAATGCTGCAAACATTATGCATGTCATAATTGTGCTTTGAATTCTGTGAAACTGCAAACACTGAGGGGAGTGACAGCAAACAATAGGATAACTGTCAGAAAATGCAAAGATTATAGATGGATCTATTGTCAACAGATGAAAATAAAACAATAATAATAATAATTCAGGCAACAAGCTTTAGAGAAAGGCTTACTAAAATCTTAATCACATACCTGTTCATTAGTGTACAATAAGAAACTATGGTCTCCTCCACAGATGATTTTGGTCACTGCATATTGTTTTGATTCTAATAAAGAAGGGAAAGAGAAACAACATGTTAGCTGGACGATATCTTATAACAGGTATACAATGTCTAGCTTTTTCATCATACTGTGAATTTTACTGCTGATACATAGTAATAAAGGATAATATACCGTGGATGCATCAAATATTAAGTCAATATTATAAATTTCCCAGCTTAAAATTTACCCACTAGATTATATTACCAGCAAAAACTTTCACATCACAAGCTGAAATCTGATATTTCCAATAACACAAACTACGGTGGATTTTATGGGACAGTTTTGTTGTTGGTGTAGTTGCTTTCCGTGCGGCTTTCAATGCAGTTTTTTGAGCAAGTATTTCAGCCGCAGTTATACCCTTGTGCATCAACATTGCCACACTCAGCATGACAGTTAAGTACTTGAAGCTCATCCATCACTAACTGGACATTTCTCTTTCCATCTGAGTGAAAGCTGCATGGATGAATGTAAAGTGGCAATGCATTTGCATTCACAATGCATTCACCTACTTAGCTTATCTTTCATGTTGCAAATAATAAATCAAATACATACAATACAATACAATACACAATATCTTTCATCATGATCCTTTTGCTTTTCCTTTAGGGAAAACACATCTACACACATACTAGTACAAAAAAATGGAAAATGTTATAAGTAGTAGCCAGGCATCCCAAAAAAGTCTTCTGCATACCTGTTCTGTGGAAATTTCCAGTCAGGAAACTGGCCTTGACAGGTAATGGACTTCTGGAATCCCCCAGTATTCCTGTGCCCAGCTGGCCATGGCCGTTACATCCAAACGCATACACCACACCAGTGGAGGGCACAAATGCCAACGTGTGGTGCCTGATGAAAGAAAAAGCAGTAGGTTTAGGAAGCAGAGGGACAGAACTAGCTTCTATACATTGAGATTATTAGTCAGACGTCCACAGTCGAAGTTACGCCAATTCAATGAGTTAGTTAGTTATCGCAGAACAATACAACAGAAACAATCATTACAGCAACAACAATTACCTGCCACAGGTTATCTGGGACACCTCAGTGCCCATGAGCTCCAGCACTCGTCTGGGTAAAAGTTCATTATTGTTTGAGCCATGACCCAGCTGACCCCATGAGCCATCACCAAATGTAAACAAGCCGCCATCCTGCCAGAAAGACAATCCAGTATTAGTTATTTTATTATTGTTGGAGACAGATTCTTATCTTAGTAATGCAGTTATTCAAACTAAAATATTATTTTTCTCCAGAACACCTAAAACCCATGTGTGAGGTCAAGGTGGATGAAGATTAATGAGGGTTAGGCAGTCTGGATGGAATTAGAATTAGATCTCATCTATGCAATAAAGGTCATCTTGATTGATATATTCACATGCAACATACTCTCAAAACTGCTCTATCTGGCAGGTGACCGAGCAGCAGCTAAAAAGACTATTTAACATTTGGTGGCAACAAGATATGCTTAAATTACGTGAACATTTTGACTAAAAAGCACATGTTGGGGTTTATCAATATTGATACCTTTGTGAGGGCTGCCGTGTGTTCATCTCCACAGCTGATGTGAACAACTTTTTGAGACCTCAGAAATTTGATGTGGCACGGGACAGCGCGATCTGAGGATGGGAACATAAACAAGCAAGGTCACACTGTTCTTCACTGCTAGTAGTTTAGAAAATAATTTGCAAACTAGTGGTTAGACTTAAGGGAACATGGCAACTACTGCACTTGAATCTAGTATTGTAGAGGCAGTGAATCAGTGACTGCCAGTACAATACTAGAAACAAAACTAAAGAAACACTTCCTGTGCAGTGCTAAAGCAGGCAAACATTGGACCAAGTACCACAGATGATTTCTACCTTGTTTATCATTGAGACCCAGTTGCCCAGCTTTGTTCTTGCCCCAACCAAATACAGCTCCAGACAAGGAGAGAGCAAAGCTGTGATCTCCCCCGGCGGTAATTTTTGCCAAAGGAATTCCTGCCAGAGACTTGAGGGGATGAGGGAACAGCTTGCTGGGCTCTCCTTTCCCTAGACCTAGCTGACCACTGGTGTTCTGGCCCCACGTGAACAGCTGGCCATCTGAGAGGGAAAGGACAGAGAAGCAAAATGTACATCTGCAGTTACAACCAGTGCAGAAAAATATACATTTGTTACTATCTGGATCTGTGACCCCTCATTCTGATGATCATTCGGTTATGGGCGTAACAAAAGTATAGCCAAGATTTTTAACATAACTGTGACCACACTGTGACCACTAAATCTAACACATATAACCATGTATAACATGAATCTGCAACATCCTGTTTTTTTAGATAATTTTGAGATAATCAGCAAACAACAAAAAACGTCTGATGTTATCGATGTTAGCTCTCCCCATGTGAGTGTTGGAAAGGTGGTGAAAAAGTTAGTTTGGATCCCTGCGCTATAACTACTAAATTCCCTCAGTCTCCATCGTCTTTTCTAAATGTTGACATGTTTCTCCTAAATGACAGCGAATCTAATCTAAAACCTTCACTGGCTAGTGTTAAATATATATATTATGTCATAATGTATAGAATAATACAGTTGAATGATGTCTCATCTGACATACCCCGCTCTCCCTCAGTACCAGTCACATTCTGAAATCTGCAACATAACAATGTATTTTTATATTTGATGAATTAATAAAATAAAAACAATCTACAATAACATGTTACTGGCTAAGATAACTAAGTTTATAAGACTGTAATGTGAACAGAATAATGAAAATATATAGACATATCTTAGTTTTGATATCGGCATTATATATCGGCTATTGGTCACCCTACTCTCTAACTATCGGCCAATGAAAAACCCCATATTGGTCGACTACTAATTACACAGATACAAGATGAAGAAACTGTGTCTTTTGTACCTCTAGAAAGTGCAATGCAGTGCTGATTCCCACACATGACTTGAGAGATCCGGTGGTCACACAGCCTTTTGACCAACCTAGGCAAAGCAAAGGAAAACATTTGTTTGTCAGGGGAAAAAAAATTCTAAAGATTTCTCAGTGATGTTACTGTTGCACAACAACATCACATGACATTTTATAGCATAAAATCATGAGATTGTCTAAGGGTGATTAGTCAGTTTTTATTTTTGTGAAAATATCTAACTCATATTAAAGAAATCTGAGCTCAACCGCAAGACCAGCCCCTAACAAACTATGTTTCATTCACAAAAGTTTGTAGTTTGTAGCATTATTATTTTTTTGGATGCATGGGTAACTTCAAGTTGAACCTTGTCGTGTCTTTAATGCTCACATGCCAACCTCCAATCTCTTCAAAGTCAATTGTAGTTTTTTTTCTCCTGTCAGGCTAAAAGCTTGAATTTCTCTAAAGTGTGCAACTCAGTCACCTTGGGATTCGAATAGCCGCCTCCGCAGAGCCCAGGCCGAGCTGTCCGCCTTCACCGGCTCCCCAGGCAAACACCTGACCCTGCTCATTCACCGCCATAGAATGGGCCCGACCGCACGACACCATTGTTATCTTCTGAGTATCCAGAGCTCCCACCAGCTCTGCGGAGAGGAGGAAGAGCTTGTCAGATGTCAGCAGCTTCATGACAAAAAAAAAAATATACATCACAGTATGTACAGCCTTGACTTTAGATTGCAGGTGCTGTAAATACTCCTTTTACAAAAGGCAACATGGTCCATTTACTTCACTGCTCTTTCATTTTCAAGCTACCATCTCATCTGGTACGCCCTAGCCTGGAATTCATTATGCCCTAAGAGACCCATCCCATGTGAGGCTTTTAGAGTGGGTATTTTATCTAATGTTTTGTATGGTATTAGGTATGTATTGTATGTAACAGAATAACACCTGAGATGCATTAGCTACAAACGTATAAAACTAAACTAAAAATCTAATATCTATTATTATCTATTAAAATGACTCAAGTGACAAAACATACCTGTTGAATAATCTAGATCTGCTGCTGAGGATTTCTAGGTATGCAAGAACCTTCTGTTGGATGTTGAATAGGTCTACTTGTCTGCTCAAGGTGCAGCAAGTCTTCTATTCTATTCACTGTTGTTATAGCTTCACCCACATGCCTATACCAAGTAACATACAATACAAACTTCCACCCACCACTGTCTGCAATCACTTCACAACCCATTAGTAATGGATATGTGTGGTTAGTAGTGCAACATAACCAATAGAACGCAATCACAAATGGAGGCACTTTAAAATAATGTATATTTACTGATACTGTTAAATACATTTTATGCATAATACAACTAAATAAAATCCATAAAATGTAAAAAAAAAAAAGAAGCCACATTTTTGCTTATGCTTTGTCGTCCAGGTCTGGTGATATCTAGCAGCTGTAAAACAAGAGCAACTGAACTTGTTAAGACCTGCACAAGGTTTCAGAAAGCTTCTTCAGGTTTACCCAAAGACAATGGATCCACGGCAACATGAGATGGTCTCACGTGGGTGTAATACTACCACAGCAAGTCCAGCTGCGACTGCTACGTAATATCTCTTTTAGATTAATGTTTTTTTTTATATAAATTAACACCAAGGAACAAGACAGGAAGTCCATTTGCTAATTAGCACTACATACAAAGCACAGCTGAGGGTGAGGGGAATGCTTTTAGTTTTGTAGGTAATTGGTCATTAAGCAAAGTACCGGACAAAATGAAATGACCTGATGATGGCGCTTGATAAAAGGTCATAGGATCACTGTTATAACTATCCTCTGGGAACCAGGAACATCAGGGACCAAATTTCACGACAATCAATCACACGTTTTTTGTGCTAGAGGAAAACTCGCAAAAGATCGCAAAATAAATGACGACATTGTCTGGACACTATGAATGAAAATGTTGTGCCAATCCATCTTGTGGATGTTAAAATATTTCACTAAATTAGTAGTGAACTAGAGGAAAAGTCTGAGGAAAACCAAATTAATTCGTATTTAGCATTTTTTTGGGACCTTGAATATCCGTATTAAATTTCATAAAAATCCACCAAAGAGTCAATGTACTAGAATCAATCCACTGTGGTCCATGAATGTTTGTTCAGAGAGATTCATCCACTAGTTGTCAAGACATTTTAATCTGGACCAAAGTGGTGCACAGACTGAATACACTGCTCAATACCAGCGAAGAATTTCTGCCATCACACCAAGCAGTACCAATACCAACAGCCTTTGTAATCTCACCATATTATGTCCACACACATTGTTTACACACACACACACACCTACTGAAAGTGGTGGGGAAACAAATTGTACTGACTAACCAAAAGTCAGCCTCTCAGTTGGACGTTTACCTGGGGGAGTCCCCGGTTTGTCGTGGCCCAGCTGTCCGCAGCAGTTAGATCCACACGTGTACACACTACCATCATGCAGCAGGAACATTGAGTGTTGCCCTCCGCAGGCGACCTCTTTCAGTCCCCTGCCGCTGAACACATGACAGTTCCTTGGCTCAAACATAGGGTTCCTCTCCGCACCGATGCCCAGCTGTCCGTCCTTTGCGTTCCCCCAACAGAGCATGTTGTCGAAGAGAGAGGGAATGAGCACCGATCTGAGATAGCGACGGCCAGATGGAGGAAGATGGAAAAAACGTTCAGGCTTGAGAGTAACCCCGCTTTCTCCTCTTCATGTAACTTCCAACCCTGAAAGACACAAAAAAAAAAAAAACAGAGTAATTATGCCATCTTCTTTCATCGGGAGCACATACCAATTACCGCGCTCCATGTGTGAATCCCTGATGTTTTGAAGAATAAAGTAAAGATGGGTTTAGAGGTGGGCGTGGCTGTGTGTGAGAATGATGTAATCCGTACGACAGAGGAACAGGCAGTGTGTTTAAATAAACCCTGTCAGTGTAATCCCAGCTTAAACAGCTCCAAGCGATCCAATCCACAGGCAATACATGCATGTTGCTGACTGAGTTAGCCAAGGGTAATAATAAACTAATGGATACAGAACACAGGACAGGTAACAGCGGCATGCAACCAGCCACCAAACAAATTCATATCAAGGACAACCACGGCGCGACACCTGACCCCAATACCTTTATGAATGTTATTACTGGACGTGAAACTATTAGTTGATTATGTTTTTTTTAGTCCTCTACAAAATTAAAGTGAATATATTTCAGTTTTAGACCTAGTCAGACCAAACAATCCACTTGACAACGTTAACTTGAGCTCTGGGAAACTGTGATGGGCATTTTATTGTATTTGATACACATCTTAATATTTGGCGTTTCATAAATACTTTTTCTTATATGGTGTTATATATATTTTATGTTTTATGTTAACTGGATTGTTCTTATTATTTTGTGTTTGAGCTTTGTAAAGCACTTTGTAAGCCCAGAGTTTTTTCAAAAAAATGCTACAAAACTTAATGATCATTAGTAGTAGCTGGGCTGCAACTAACAATTATTTTCACTGTCAGTCCTTTTCTCGATTAACTGATTAGCTGTCTGGTCCAGAAAATGTTAAAAAATGTTGATGCCTGTTTCCTAAATGCCACATGTGATAAGCTGAATTCATAAGATATTAACAATTTTTACTTTAAAATGACTCAAAACAAGTAATCTATTATCAAAATAGTTAAATGATTTAATAGTTGACAACTAATTGACTAACCGTTGCCCCTGTAAGCAGTAGCAGCGGTATAATGCAACACAACCAAGTGTGAACCTGAATACAGCTCAACAGCACAACAATCTACACCCTCTAAAATGAATCAAGGTCTCTCTCAAGTTAATCTACGGTTTTGGCGAAAACTGAACACTGTAACCTTCACGAGGGAAGGTAGGCTGCTGTATAAGACTGCATTATTTTTAGCTGAGTGTACCTACTAACCTGACAAGTGGGTGTATACCGAGAGAGTGGAAGAAAATATTGAACATTAACTGTTAGACCACAGTAAGCACATGGCCCTGACAGGGTTTGCACTGTATTAATCAAATCCCTTTCCAGTAGGTTTTCTTTGACAGTACAGGACATGACTTGCTTACGAACGGTCATATGAGCTGCAGTTTGGGGAAGTTTACAACATTAATTTGTCCACAGCCCATAAATAACAGTTCAAATCGGGTAGAATTTATTTTATTTCACAGACAATACACCCTCTAGAAAGTTAAAGTGTTCATTGCACATGTATTTATCAAAGAGTTGATTCCCTTTGCATCTGTTAAACCCTGATAAATACAGTTTATCCCAACAGTGAAGTCTCAAACAAAATACACACCTAGGTTTACACAAGTGATCTGAGTGAGGAGCTGAAAATGCAACAAAAACAAGACAACATCGATTATTTCCAGGATAATTCATTTCCAGGTGTTTCCATGAATGGGAAAACTGGTCTCTTTGGCTTTTCCAGGTTTTCCAGGTTTTCCAGGACACGTGGGA